GGTTATGCTTTGTATTGTCCTGTTTTAGGATTTTAAATTTTGTATTTTTTCTATTTTAGAGTGTTCATTTTCTTGTTTTAGTTAGGCCTTCAGAGTTTGTATTTTTGGGTTTGACAGTTTGTCATTTTCCTATTTTGAGAATAATGAATTTCAGTTTTTTGTAAGCATAACTTTCATTGATGCATTAACTAACTCCAAAATGATTGGTGATGATATTTGTTTAGTGGACAGTGCAATCACACACTCAATCTTACGTGATGCAAAATATTTTATACAATTAATCATGGAAAAATCTAATATCAATACAATTTCAGGTTTTGGAAACCTGATTGAGGGCTCCGGAAGAGCCAACATTATGTTGTCAAATGGAACAAAAATTTGTATTGACGAAGCTTTATTTTCTATCAGATTCAGAAGAAATCTATTAAGTTTCAAAGATATACGTCATAATGGTTATCATATTGAAACTATAAATAAAGGTCAGGAAGAGTATTTATTGATCACTACAACTAATTATAGTCAGAAGTTAGTATTAGAAAAACTTCCTACATTTTCATCTGGATTATATTATATGACAATAAAAATGATTGAGTCACATATTGTCATGCACCAAAAGTTCTCTGAGCCAAAAACATTTATACTATGGCATAATCAACTCGGGCATCCAAAATCTATAATGATGCTCGAATAATTAAAAGTTCATATGGACATCCATTAAAGAATCAGAAGATTCTTTTACTAACTGATTATCTATGTTCTTCCTGTATAGAAGGGAAATTAATTACCATATCATCACCCGCAAAAGTTATTGTTGAATCTCCATTCTTTTTGCAAAGAATTCAAAGGGATGTATGTGGGCCCATACACCTTCTTGTGAACCATTTCGTTATTTTATAGTTTTAATAGATGCACCAACTAGATGGTCACATGTTTGTTTACTTTTACACGTAATGTTGCATTTGCCAAACTCCTTACTCAAATAATTAGATTGTGAGTACATTTTCCAGACCATCCTATCAAGATAATTCGTCTTGATAATGCCAGTGAATTTACATCCCAAGCTTTTAATAATTATTGAATGTCCATTGGCATTGATATTGAACACCTTGTTGTACACACTCCTACCCAAAATAGTTTAGCTGAATCTTTCATTAAGAAACTTCAGTTGATTGCTTAGCCTTTGCTTATGAAAAGCAAATTACCTGTTTCAGCATGGGGCCATACTATATTGCATGCAGCATCTTTGATTCGTGTCAGACCAACTGCATATCATGAGTACTTGACATTACAACTTATATTTGGTCGACCGCCAAATGTTAGTCACCTTAAAGTATTTGGTTGCGCAATTTATGTCCCTATTGCACCTCCACAGCATACTAAGATGGGTCCACAACGAAGGCGTGGAATTTATACTAGTTTTGATTCGCCATCAACCATTAGATATCTAGAACCTTTGACTGGTGATGTGTTTAAGGCATGATTTCAGGATTGTCATTTTGATAAAACAATTTTCCCATTATCAAAGGATCATTCATTTGAAAAATATTGCAAATCAGTTACCATATGCATTTATCGACACAAAAAATGTGACAAAATCTTACATACCAACAGCTAATATCCCAGCAAGAATTCATGTTCTTATCGGACAATCAGTGGATATAGTAGCAAATGAGTCTAAGGCACGCCAAAAGCGTGGGAGACCCATCAATGCAAAAGACAAAATTCCTCAAAAGAGGAATGCTCAAGAATAAACAGGTAGTACTCTAGAAGAAACTATAAATGGATCTCCTGGAGAGATCATACCCATAAATGAAAGCATCCCTGAAGAGGCTAAAACCACAAAACGGGTTATAGTAAGTCTATCCAAATCTCCTACTTATGAACCTCCAGAAGAGAAATATCCTGAAGAGTTATTCACTGAAATGGAAAAGGTATCTGAAAATAATGAGATCTCAATACATTATATTAGTAGAGGAGAAGTTTGGAATAGAAATCAAATTATTGTCGACAACATATTTCATTAGTTGCTCTTGACATTACCAGAAGTAATGCTGAAAACATTATTAAAAGTGATGATGACAATGAACCACAAATTGTCGAGGAATGTCGACAAAGAAATGATTGGCCAATGTAGAAAGAACCAATACAACTAGAGTTAAACTCGCTAACAAAACGTATGTAGTCCAAACTCCTGAAGGAATACAACATATGGGATATAAATGCGTGTATGTTCGAAAACGCAATAAGCAAAATGAAATTGTAAGATATAAAGCATGACTTGTTGGGTAAGGTTTCTCGCAGAGACCTGGTATTGACTATGAGGAATCATATTCACTCATAATGGATGCAATTGCATTCAGATTTTTAATTAGCTTGGTAATTACAGAAAATTTAGATATGCGCCTAATAGACGTTACGGCATATTTATATGGATCACTAGATAGTGATATATATATATATATATATGAAACTCCTTGAAGGATTTAAAATGTCAGAAGCATCTAATTCAAAACCCTGAAGTGTTTATTCAATCAAGCTACAAAGATCTCTATACGGGTTGAAACAATCCGAACGCATATAGTATAATCGGCTCAGTGTATATCTGTTGAAAAAATGATATATGAATGATCCGATTTGTCAATGCATTTTTATTAAGAAATTAGAATCTGGATTTGCAATTGTTACAGTATATGTTGATAATTTAAATCTTGTAGGAACTCTAGAAGAACTTCCAAAAACTGCAAAATATTTAAAAAAAGGGATTTGAAATAAAAAATCTTAGCAAAACAAAATTTTATCTCGACATGTAGATTGAATATTTGCCAAATGGGATTCTTGTACATCAACCAACATATACAAAAAAAGTCTTGAAGAACTTTTATATGGATAAAGCTCATTCTTTGAGTACTCCTATGGTTATTCTATCTCTTGATGTGAAAATGAATCTTTTTCGACCTCAAGAAGATAATAAAGAACTCCTTGACTCTAAAGTACCATATCTTAGTGCAATTTGTGCTCTCATGTATCTTGCAAATTGTACAATGCCTGATATTGCATTTGTTGTCAATGTGTTAGCAAGATATAGTTCCACACCAACCTGAAGGCATTGGAATGGAGTAAAGCAAATATTACATTATCTTCGTGGAACAACTAATATGTTTTTATTTTATTCAAATAAATCCAAGCCGTGTTTAATCAAATATGCAGATGCTGGATATCTTTCTAATCCATATAAAACCAAAACACAAACAGGATATGTTTTTACCTATAGACATACTGTTATATCTTGGCAATCAGTAAAACAAACATTGACTGCTACTTCTTCAAATCACTCAGAGATACTTGCAAAGCAAGTCGATAATGTATTTGGCTTAGATCTATGATCCATCATATTCAAGAAAGATGTAGATTATCTTTAATAAAAGATAGTCCAACCATATAATATAAAGATAATGTTGCATGTATCACACAGATCAAAGGAGGCTATATCAAAAGTGACAAGACTAAACACATTTCACCAAAATTGTTTTACACACATGAGCTCCGGGAGAATGGTGATATTGATGTCCAATAAATACGCTCAAGTGATAATCTAGCAGATCTATTTACCAAAGCACTACCGACTGCAACATTTAAGAAATTGGTACATCATATTGGGATGCATCGACATAAAGATCTATTATGCAGCATTGAGAGGGAGTCATCTATTTAAGCTGGTTTATAGATTGTACTCTTTGTCCTTTGTCTAAGGTTTTTTTTCCACTAGATTTTCCTTAGCAGGGTTTTAATGAGGCAATCTAAACAAATCACATACAATAATATTGTACTATTTTCCCTTCACCAAAGATTTTTTCCCATTAGATTTTCCTTAGTAAGGTTTTGACGAGACATATTCTTAGTATATGGATTATCCAAAAAGGAGTGTTGTGAAATATTTGGGTAACCATCAAACGAGATGCAATTGAAATTCTAATAAGTTTTTGGGCCAAAGTGGAAATAGGAGAAAGTTTTACTATGTGGGAACTGTGGTATGCCATGTGATAAATCACATGGTATGATGAATAGTGGTGAATAGTGAGGATTTTATCACCTGTAAATAGATGAGTTTGCATGATAATGAAAATATAGAAAAATATGTAGTCTTTTATTTCCTCTTACATTGTGACTCTGTATTTTTTATTTTTTTTTAGTTTTATAATAATAACAACAAAACTCAAAAACATAATTTAATTAAGGTAAAGGGGGTCAACACAAGTATAGAAATAAAATAAATTTCCCATCATGTAGATCTTATAGTCCACGTTTTTCTTGTCTTTTGTGAAAAGATGATGATGTAAAATGAAATAAAAAAATAAAAAATAAAATGTTGATGTAAAATAAAAATAAAAAACTTCCAATAAGTTTTGGTCAGCACTGAAGCTATGGTGAAGACAATGGAAACCAACCATGCATGACAACAATGTGGAGTTGTATATCAATTGGTTGTGGTGAAGACAATGGAAGCCAACCATGCATGACAACAACGTGGAGTGTATATCGTTTGTTTGTTTGTGGAGCTCAGATGATTTTTTCCAGACAGCATCATGCATGACAACAATGGTATTTTCTAATGTGTTAATTGGGTTACAATCTAACATTTGAATAGTCATAAATTTTAATTGGCCAACCTATTCACCTCCTCTAGGTACGTCATATTCATATTCTAATATTTTAATGCAAATCAAAACCATGCATCCCAACAAAAATACTCGATTCAATTGCTATCTGAATCAGCCAAAATATTTGAAGAGCATTGATAGGGTAGGTTGAGTATAGAAGTAGATTAAACTTATTAGAGTTAAGGTAAAATATAAAATAAAATAGTTGAATTTAAAATGGTCCAACCAAGAACTGCATAGGGTTTCTGGAGGTGAAAAGGGCTAAAGGATGAAGGACAGGGGAAGTAGCAATCCTTTCACTTCTGGCGTGGCACGCTCTTAACGAAAGCACTACAGAGGATCTACACACGCCATGGCAAACCAGTGTATGTAGTATTCAAACTACCATAATCGACCAAAATTAAATTGGTCTTACAGAAACTATCCTTGATCAAAAACTATCCAAAATTACCAAATACACTGATGATACATGATTTGCTTCAATTGGTTACTGGTACTTTAAAACTAACAATTTTCACAGAAACCATCTGTGCTACTTTCAGTACCCCTGTCTTTCTACAGAGATAAAGCCTTACCATAAAGCCACCCCACCCTCCAAAACAGAACATAAAATTCCCCAAATTAAAAAAATTGAAAATTCTTTTAAAAAGCCAGGAAGTAAATTGCTCGTCACTTGCCATTTGATCATTACATGTTCTTCTTGGTATCAGAATGAGACAAGCTCTGGTCAATTGACTGCAGCTGATTTCGAAGGTTTTGATTCTCCTCTAGCAAGCGGTCATACTCTACTAAGAACCCTTCAGATTGACTTTTCAGAGCCAACACATTGGCTTCTGCAGATTTCACCTCTTTTTCTTTTATCTCATGTTTGGTTTCCAGCTGCTTGATGTGTTTTTTCAATCGAGAAACCTCCTCACCCAAAACTTTGAGCTCCTCACTTTTACCATCCTCATTAGCCCGGTTTTGCTTCTTTGCAGCCTCCATGGTCTTTCTGAGTAAGCGAAGTTCTCTTATGTAGTGGTGTAGTCTATCTATCATCAGCAAGAGGAATAGCAAGAACCCTGCACATGAATACACTCATATGAACTCATTCAAATTAATGCTGGATACCAAAGTCTGAACAAGTAGGATGTAAAATCTTTATTATTCATCAATGACAAACAATGAGTTGAAAGAACAAGGCACCACAGAATCAGATGTGCCAAGTCTTCAACTCCATTAACTGGACGGTTTTATCAATCTCATGTTTGAACCAACAGATCTGCAAAAAACATAAAAACCCCAGCAAACCAATCCGTCTACAAGGGTTGTATTAGTAACTCTTGCCATTGTTTCAGGTGGCATTGACGTCCAATACCACAATCATGGGGTTTTCTAAATTAGCATAACATAGTAGATAATAGACTCTCATGTTTAGAAATAGCAAATGACTTATGTGGCTGCTTAGAAGGTAACAGAACCAGTTATAGTGGTCCAAAAAAATGTCCCTACTTTGGTAACACAATGGGTTTCGGTTATTTAACCACCCAATTTTAAGGAAAAACAGGTCCAGGTAAAACAGTTGGAAGGTGGTTTGAAACGATCTCTCTGGGCAAACTGCTTCCTCAATCCACATCTAAGCCCTAGCTAGTTTGCACACTCCCTCTCACTCCCCTAAGAAGCACGGACACTTCTAAGAAGGTGACATATCCGTATTGTGTCTCTGTCAAACACCAATACTCTCTGGACACTTATCCAACACGTGTCCAACACTCTTCGAAATGTGTCCAAATTTTTAATGTTTTTTTTAAAGACCCCGACATTCTTTGAACTCTTGGAAGACACATGTGTCTATCGCTTAAGCACACGTATGTATCGATTAGACACGGGTGAAATTAATTATAAGTTCGAACAAAACAACTAAAGATACAATAATAAAACAAAAACCGTATAAATTTATAGGAGTTGGTATCATATTGCATTTTTTATTATCTTCGAATGATATATTCATATATATAACATATAATAAATATATAAAATTATATGTTTCATGCTTGTCCCCCACGTGTTGTGTCATACATTTTTTGAAAATTGACGTGTCAGCTTGTTCGTGTCGTGTCGCGTGTCCGTGTCCAAGCCACTTAAACACTCACTCTCATATTCAATACTTCAAGCGCATAGGGCAAGATTGAATAAGCATACGAGAGAGAAATGACGCCATTGCATATTTGTAGGGGGAAGATAAAGATGGGGGGTAGAGTTTCACATATTATTTGTATGAAAAAAAGGCGACCCTCTATTCCAGTGGAGTGCTTGATAGAATGGAAGTAGAGCCTCCTACTTCTACGGCTTCCCTTCCTAACTTGTTCTTAGTTTCGTAGGAATCCTCCTCTTTCTACTTCTTTCCTAACTTTCAAGGCCTAATACATACAGATACCTACTTATATTCACAGAACTGGTTCAGGTAGCAATTTAGACAAACTACATCTTAACTAGAGCTTCTGTAAAAAAATCATCTGCTTTTCCAAGCTGCAGAGTTCCCAAACAGCCCTTATAATAGGAAACCTGATGTAAACTGTAAGAGAACACACATTCATGGAGCAACGACCAACCACTAGCCCGTCAACTCTCATTACTTTTATCTGGCTTAAGTGTTATACCCATGGAAGGCAGACCAGTCAAGCAAAGACATGAAAATGCTGAAACATCCTTCTAAAAAGGAAGCCAAATACAAGACACCTGCATAGAAGCTACTATGAAGCACGGATACTTCAAATAGGAAGACGTATCCGTATCGGATACCGATACTTCTTGGATACTTACGGATACGTATCAGATACTTATTAAAAGTATCGGATACTTCTTAATTAATTTTTCATTAATTTTGACGTATCGGATACTTTAGTTTTGAAGTATCGGATGTTCCAAGTCACATATTATCGGATACTTCTTAATTAATTTTGAGGTATCAAATGCTCCAAGTCACGTATTACTCCTTTTACAAAATTAGAATTGTATCATTTCTTACATAACATCATAATATAATATAATTGCGAGGATAAATAGAATATTTTTACAATACTTTGCCTAGTTTTTTTTTTTATATAAAAATAATATAGTAAGCTAAAGTAATAGAATTCATCAAATTGGCATATCTTCATTGTATCATGCATGTTCCCTACAACTACATAGAATTAAGGATTAATAAGATAATATAACAATAATAAAATTAAATATCAATAAATAAATAAGCAAATAAACTTGCATAGAATATTTTTGATTAGTGCAAAAGGAAAAAGCATAGGGTCAAGTTGTGGATTGTTTTGATATTATAATATCAACATATTAGACTTGATATTGAAATGAAATATTTACAAGACCTATTGAAAATTTAAAAACTAAACTAGCTACTGACTTAAACTAATACCTAATTCTTAAAGATTAGTATTTTGCATTATAAAGTTGCTGTGGTTTCTCAACATTCTTGAACTTATGTATAACTCACTGCTAATAATTTATTTATTTTTTATTTTTTATTTTTTACAAACGTATCCTAGCCGTACCCGTACCCATATCCGTATCCTACTTTTTTAAGTTTTACTGTATCACCGTATCCGTATCATATCGTATCCATATCTGTGCTTTCTGGAGGAGCTATAATATAAAGGGGACAATTCAACAAATCCCAATTCCAAACAAGTTTACTGTAGTTGTTCCACAGATGATGACATCAATCTCTACGAGATACTCCAAGGTGATTCAAAGCAACAAAGCCATCTTGATTATATATGCCAAGGTGATTCAAAGCAACAAAGCCATCTTGATTATATATGCCTTTCTATCGAAGCAACAATCAATTCTCTCTTATAATTGAAGTACATCATTTAGACACAAATAACAACATTCAGGGGTTGAATGTTGGAAACTGGCAACATAAATCATGGTAGTATAGATGTGCATGCAATTATTGTATTACTCCTACTGCAAACACAATTTAGCCATTTTGATAAGTACTGAAAAAAAATATTTTTTTTCTTTTCTGGAACTTGTAAAGAAGAGATTTCTTTGTGGTTTATCTCCATTACAACCCCTATTTCTTGCATGGTGAAGATCAACCCAGAGGTTAAATTTTCTTCTCTCTCTTTCATCAACTTCTTAAGGCTTCATGAATTCTGATCAATCACATGAAGGGTTCGTTTGGGAAATGGGTTGACTTTTTGACTATTTTAGCCTGGGGCTAAAAAATCTCGTTTGGGATGAACTTTTTGGCTTTTGTGACTTTTGTGAGAGAAAAAATGTAATGATTATAGGTTGGATGCGATGTTTTGTCTTATTGGGCTAAAAAGCCTATTTTGTTTATTTTTGGCTATTTTAGTCAAAAAAATCCCCAAACCTAACTTCCCAAACGAGCTTTAAAGCTCTTTTAGAAATTGTCTTGTTGAAGAAAATTGTAATCAATGTCGTGTAGTTCACTTCACCCTCTACCCTCAATTTTGCATTCCCCCACAAGAACAAGATTGTTCCCCAATATTTCAAATTTCAGGATAAATTGATTCCTTCTTCTAACAAATACATCGTCTTGTTCTAATCTTGTTTTCCCCCTTAATATGAAAACAGGATAGTCCCCTCGTACTTAAAGCTCGAGGATAGATTCATTCCGTTTTAAAGAAACCATACTTTATCTTCCCACGATAAGCTACATTGAGTTATTCAGATAGATGTAATCTCAACATCAAGTGCAGCCAATAAACTTTATTTTCTTTTTTATTTTTCAATAGTTAACATAAGCAAAGTCAAACTTAGTCTCTTTAAACGCGCCAGGGGGGGGGGGGTGGGGGGGGGGGAGGATAACAAAAATTAAAAAATTCTCTGGCTAAAGATCCAACAGAATAGAATAAGTCAACCAAGATAATATTGCAGTTTTACGTCAAATACTTGGGTCAATTTCCCAAAAGAAAAGTGTTTCCCAAGACAAAATAGAGTGATAAAAGCAACAAAGTAATGAAAAATCTTCAAGTCCACACAAACATGGACACATTGATTCCAATGGAAAAAGGAAGGGAACAATGGTGAGGAGGAGACATCATTGGGAAATTCACTTAGAAAAGAGTTACACTTTATTCCTCAATCCAAAGATGAACGTTAGAGTCAAATCAAGGGTGTGTGATGTCTACATTCTATAAAACACCGACACTTCAAAATAAATACCGTAGCAGTGTCCTCTTATTTTATTAATTTATTTTCAAGGGACACGCTGAAAACATTTCAAAGACACAATAAGAACATACCAACTTATCTTTTTCCCCCATTTTCTTTAATACTTTTTTGATGAATGTTGGATGTTAAATATTTATTATTTTCTTTTTAGATTTAAATACTTGATAGATCATTCATAATATAAAAAAAAAAAATTAAATTAAATTAAAACATAAGTGTTAATTTAAAAGTATTTTTTTTTATATAAATATAAAATTAGAATTAATTTTTGTTAATGTTGATTATTTGTAATAATATTCTAGATAGCAAATAGAAATATATGACAACATATTTTAGGAAGACTTACGTGTAGGTCCTAATAAGTAAATTTATTGTCCAACAAGTCCTGTTATAATTAATGGCGGTTTTCATTGGACACTATTAAAAAAAATCACTAATTCTTAATTTTCAATGATAGTTTCAAAAATTTATCATAAAAAAGTCACTAATTATAAGTTTTAGCAACCATTTAAAAAAATTGTCACAAAAAAAAGTCACTAATTTTCAACCTTCAGCGACATTTAAAAAATTTGTCACATAAAAACGTCACTAATTGTAAGTTTTAGCAACAATTAATAATAATTGTGACCAAAAAATAAAATCACTAATTGTCAATTTTTAGCGACATGCAAAAAAGTCGCAAAAAATTATTTTTAGCGACAATTTTACTAGGATTAACTTTCAATAGGACTTAATGGAAATTAAGTTCAACTATTAAGACCTATTGGTAGTTTATTCCATATTTTATTGTCGTGTCCCCACCATATCCGTGTCTCCATTTTTTTTGAAATCATTGTGTCCCTTGTCCGCATTCGTGTTTATGTCCGTGTTCGCATCCATATCCATGTTCGTGTCTGTGTCCGTATCCGTGCTTAGTGTACATTTATAAAATCCAAGGAAAAAAATAAATTCTAAATTTACCCCATCTTCAATGAGGCATACATGGCTAATTTGCCACATAGTATAACTTTTATTAACATTTACACGTCTTCGACATAAAACCTAACCAAAATGCCAAAACAAATAAATAATACAAGCAAAAAAATAAATAAACAAAAACAAAAAACAAAAAAATGCCTTCAACTTTAGAACACTCAATATACTAAAATAAAGAAATAAAACTAGGTTGATCAAAAAAATCAAGAAATAAAACTAGGCCATCTAACATTAATTTCATCTTTCTTTTCTTCTTCTCTTTTTTTTTTTTTTTTTTTTTGGAGGGGGTGGGGGGGGGGGGGGGGAAGAGTTATATTACATTTTAGCATTTTCTAATTAATTGTGAATATTCAAGAATTTGACTACTATACAGCACATAACATAAACAAAATTCCTACATAAAATAGAGTTCAGAACAATAAGGTGGCACAACTCATGTATAACACCATTGCTGGTAGAAAGTGCAACTCCCATCTTATCTCTTGTAATCATCCCAAACCATATTGATAGTACCAACAATAGGGGCAAGCACAAAACCTGCTTGCTCAGCCCGCAAATTTTGTGGGTTGGACTGAGTGATGTGTCCATTGTAAACATTTCATACCTTCAATTCATTCTTTGTTAGACCTATTTCATATTTTATTTTATCTTATTATGTTTATTTTTATGCTTTTAGGTATTGTGGAAGTTTAATGGAGAAATGCTCCTAAATGAAGGAAATTGGAATCGCATGGAAAGAGATGAAATAGTTAGATGGGATCATTTTGAACACATTGAGGTGTCTAGTTTGATTGATAGTTTGGTGATTCCATGCTTGAGGTTCCTAGTTCAAGCCTTGCTGCAAGCAAGCAAATCTACATGTTTTTTTTTTTTTAATCAAAGTGCAAGACCTGCGAAGGATAGGATCACATCCCATGTACCAAATCCATTTCAACAAGCACACTAATGCCATGAGAGATAAGAGATCAAGTTTGGACAATTACAAGATGGCAACTATAGTTTCTTTTTATTAAATATGTAACTCTTACAATTTAGTTTCTTTAGAGTTCTAAACCTTTTTATGTTTGTCTAAAAATATAGAAGTAGACATCTGCAATGAGGAGGTCAAATTATTTAGGTTATTATTTTATTTTTAATTCTTTTTCTCTTCATATTTTGTGAGTGTTCCAAATATTGAAGGAGGAGAAAAGGAGTTTGTATCTTGATTATTTTAATATGAATTTTATGAATATGATGTATGTGATGGATTCCATTGCCTAGTATTTTATTTATTTGATTAAATCCTTTTTAATATTTACAATTTTATTATTCTTCGTTCTATTAAAATTCAAGAATTTGTTCAACTAGATTACGTAATTGATTTTAAGATTAATTGGCAATTTTTAACCATCAAATCCTTGTGAGTTCGACCTTGTTCTTACCTTGTCTATACTCCAAAAGATTCATGCACTTCCAAGGAATTAAAATTAGTACATCACTGAGTTGGGTCACAAAGTCAAGTTCAAATTAAATTCTAGACTTAGGCCAAGGTTAGCTCAGCCCAAAAAAAGCCTGGCTTGCACTTTGGGTTAATTTTAATACATTACTTCTATCTATATGTAAAAAAATAACTCCAAATTCAACGAAACAAGCGTTGATCTATTGGTCAATACTAAATATCTTATATTAAGTTGCTAGGTCAAATTTTGGAGCCTCCAATTTGTGAACAGTATTGAAAACTAGAAATAAATAATTGAAACTAGCATAGCAAAATTCAACCCGAGCCCACGATGTAGAATAGGCTGAGCTTGGGCTGAGACATTGATTTTTAATCAAACTGAACTTTGGCTTGACCTCATGAAAATCAATTTTGTTTGAACTTGAACAAACCTCAGCCAAGTTCATTCCCGCTCAACTGATAGGCCTATGCATGACTATAATTATATCCAAAATTATCAAAGATAAGTTTCTCTCTTCTAATGTAACTTCTATGCAGAGAATTGTACTTATTGCTATGAAAAGAATTTTAATAAAGTAATTAAACATATTATGTAAATAAATATAACATCAGTATTGGAAGTTGTTACAGAATTGTGTATCACTTCAAACCACTATTTTACATCTAAACATCAAAGAATTGAATTTCCTTCAGGCTGTGTCTGGTATATGGATTTGGAGAGAGATTTGGAAAGGGAAAGGAATTTGGGGAGGAATTTCACCAATTTGGTCCTTTCCCTTTCCCTTTCCCTTTCCCTTTCCAAATCACTCCCCAAATCCATGAACCAAGCACAGGCTCAATTCCTTCCGCTTTCTACATAAAGTGAAAACAAGAAACATTATATCAATGCAATCATGCACAAAGAATGGAACAATGGTATGCCATGTTTGTGGACATGAAATATCCCAAACAATGACGTATATGTAAATTGCTGAACAAAACAAATTCACTCTTTTCATTTCAGATAGATATACAATCCACCTCCCAAATTATTATTCCTCATAAACACCACTCTTATAATAAAAATTAAAATTAAAAATAAAACAAAATAAAAACCCTTCTCAAACTATTACTCATACATGCTTTTTGTTCACCCACCCTATCAAAATGTAACTTATTTATCCAGGGGCTCATGTTTCAGGCAAACTACAACTGTGTTTCACCAAATCCAAAAGGGGTATTAGTGTTTGCAAAAACCCATATACTCATCAAGAGAACAAGAGTCATTGATTCAAGCAAATTAACAAAACTCACATTTTCCAAAATTTATAAAATTCGAATCAATCTAACAAATAACAATTCAAATATGAGGACATAGAGTAGTAGATTTTTGTTTACCCATCAGAGAAGCTTCAAGCATGTTCCTGGCGAGGATAATCTGGTCCATTGGATTGAGAGAGTCGATTGGACGGCTCTGGATCTCGGTGACGCTGTAAACAGTGATGGACATGAAGACGAAGATGACTCCGGCGACGGTTTTGACGACGAGAGGGCCGGAGCCTCGCTTGAGTCGGTCCAACGCCATGATGACGAGCTTCCTGAGAGGGGTTTTGAAGAGGAGGATCAGAATCACCGCCATTTCTCCCAGAATCGCAGGGAATAGTAGCTGTATCATCTTTTTTCTCTCTATATATATATATATCTATGTATTGCTAAAACCTAGATCGCTAGAGGTTTCGCAGAGTGAAACACACTGGTTTAGAGAGAGAGAGATTTACGAGTGAGACTGGTAGGCGATAAAACAAGCAACGGCTCGTCGCGTTGTGTAGTAGGATAATTAAGGTTGGTTTAAAAAAAAAAGGAATTATGGAAAAATTATTAAGAAATTCTTTTTTGGGTTTTATGGTAATATAATTCAATGAATTTGATTTTAAAATATTTTTAATAAAAGATTTTTAATAAATATTTTTAAAATTTTAAATAAATTTTTTATTTTTTTAAATGCACCTTTCTTAGATTTATCTAAATAATAAAATATGTTTGAAAAAATATTTTAAAAAATTAGTAAATATACAAAAATATGAAAAATGTACTGAATTTTAGTATTTTTTATATTTTTGATATTTAGTAAAAAAAAATTAAAAAAATTTCATAAATATTTTACTTTTTTATTGTATTTATGTTAGGTATGTCTAAAAAAAATTTAAAAAAATTGTTTAAATTATTAAAAAAATTCAGTGAAAACAAAAATATATAGAAAATAAAAAAGTAAAATTTTTTACAAAGTGAATTTTGAAAACTAAAAACAAACAAAGTGATTAAAGTTTAAAGATTGTTTTATTTTGGTGTTAACTGGTAAATTTATGATTATGATTACCGATAAGGCAAATTTCACTTTATGATTTGAGTTATTATGTGTGATTTCACCTTAACGTTTAGAAATGATCACATAATTCTGTTGTGGTCTGTGGATTAAAGTGAACAGTTAAATATTTTATCTAACTTAACAGTATGTGTGAAACACATGTCAGATATAAAGGGATTATATGTTCATTTTAAAATTGAAGAGAGTAAATCACAAACAAATGACAAAAAAAAAAAGCACAGGAGGATTAAAGTACAATTTGTCTTCTAAACAAATGACAAAAATATAAGGATATTTTAGTATTTTTTATTAAATCGTTAACGGGCTTAACAGTACACTTTAGTTTACAAATCACAAAAGGGTTATGTGGTCATTTCTAAATATTAGAGAGATAAATCGTACATGATCCAAATTACAAGAGATAAAGTGAAATTTGCCCTTATAATTTTGTATTTTAATTAAGCTAGAATGGTAATCTTAGAAATCAAAATGTCACATTATGTCAATACCATAAAAAAAACCTTCACTTATAATAGTTCTAGTAGTGCCTGGAGTCCGGATCCTCGGTCGCCCTTGTCTGTAGCGCTTCCCTGTAGCGCTCCAAAACGACGTCGTTTTGGGGTAACTTTTCAAAAAAAAAAAAACGGAGCAGAACTCAGAAATGGGAGAAGAGAAAGAGGGGAAGAGGAGCCAAGCAGGGGAAAAGAGAGGAGCCAAGCAGAACACCTCCCACAGGCCTCCCTTCACCCACGGCGCAACCATCTCCCCGCCATCGCCGACTACTAATAAAATCTGGATCCTGTTCTTCTTCATCTTCTTCTTCCTCCTTTCTCTCACTAAAACTACCAACCCAGCAACCATCTCGATCTTTTCTCCTTTTTTCTTTGCCGCCGGTGTACCGGAGGGAGTTCGTCGGATCTAATGTTTGACTGTTTGTATTGATCTAATTTTTATTAATTTTGATTTATCGTGTGGAATGTTCAAGTGTTATTCTGTATATATGTTTGTATATATATATATACATACATATCAGATTTTTGGTGTTCAAGGTGTTTGAAGTGTTTGTATTGTTGTTCAAGTGTTGTAATTTGGTTATTGATGTTCAAGTGTGTAGACACCCCATTTTTGACCGACCTTAAGACTCAGATGTCACTGATTGAGTGCTCGGTGATATTGCATATTATGCTCGTTCAGAAGTTTCAGAGTCCCAGCTGCAAGCCTTGCCCCCAAACTTCCGGACTCTTTCGTGCCTTGCCTCGATTTGCAAACCAGGCTCTGTTTTCTCTATTTTCTCTTCCCGAAGGGAATGAGAGGTCTCGTAGATCATCTCTCAGTGGCCGTAGGCTACGTTTTGTGGTCGTAGGCCTTTTTTTTCCGTTTGGAGCCTAGTTTCTGGTTTTCGGAGCCGTCGGCCGTGTGCCTCGGTTCGAGACCGCTTAACCACCTCCGTTTGCTCCAGTTTTTGGCACACACCTTGTTTCCTCCATTTAGAGGAACACTGTGGCCCAAGAGACCAACTTCGTGGTCGAATGCCACCTCCGGTGCTTAACAGCCCATTTTCGGGGCCCCAGGCCGCGCGTTTCGGTCCCCGAACCTCCGTTTTGCATCCGTTTTGGTTTATTTTTGGTGGAGACCTTATTTTCATTATTAGAAAGCTTGTAGGAGGGTGGGAGGCTAGCAATTTTTTTGAAAAGCCAGTTTTATTTCTTCATCGCTCTCCGTCGCCCGTTTTCCTCACTAGAAAGCTAATGTTGACCACTCCCAGGCCACTTTCTTTAGCCTTAAGCCCCATATTTGTGTTGTACACACCTGGGAGACCACCAATATGAATAGGCCAGCCAGTAATTGTCTCTGACCCTTTTGAACCCCTCTAAAAAGTTGACTTTTCTCTCTCCTGGTTCACATTTTCTGGGTTTTGACCACATATTTGTGTTGTGCACACATGGAAGGCCACCTTTTTGGGGTGGCCGGCCAATAATTTTGATTGACCCTTTTGACCCCTGGCCGGCCAGCCAGGGGGGGTGGCCGGCCGGCCACTTGAACCTTTTGAACCTGGCCGGCCATGATCCTCTCTCCAAGTGTATTCCAACTGTGCCAGCTGTTTTCCCCCAGATTCTGTATTCGAGGGGCTGCCTTTTGGGGGGGAAATTTGAATTTGTTTTTCCCCCCCTTTCCTTAACCTCTCTCCCTCTATATAACCAGCAACCTACCTCATTTCTAAGGGTTGAAAAAACCAGCTGGGATTCATATATACACCCTTCCATATATCTCTCTCATTTAAGCCTCTAAACACCCTTGTTCTTGACCTTTACACTACACCTCCAAGCCTACTACCTCCACACTCCGTTCTAGCAACTTGGAGGCCATTTTCAGAGGTTAGGAGCTCACTTTCTTGGACCAAAAGCTACTGGAAACCTGTGCTACAAGGGTGAGTCCCTATTTCCTCTTTTCTTGCCCTATTTTGCATGCTATCTTAGCTTTTGTTGCTTACATTTTTGGGCTCCGACCTGAACTGGAAATAGTCTTATTTTGAGCTAATATTCATGTTTGATCCAGGACTTTTCTCTGTTTGAGGTCTCCTCCTCACCCTTTGTGTTTAATCTCTCTTTTAGGGCTCATCTTGCATGGTATTTTAGCCCTATTTTTGAGCATTTTTGGGCTTCGAGCCAAACTGTGAAGTGCCTTATTTTGAGCTCCTCTTCAAATTTGTTGAGGGCTCTTCACTGTTTGAGGCCAGCTACCGCCCCTTTCCCTTTATCTCTCTTTTAGGGCTATTTTTGCATCATATTTTAGCCTTACTTGTGAGCATATTCGAGATTTTTCATAAACTGTAAAGTGCCTTGTTTTGATCCCCTCTTAAACTTTGTTGAAGGGCTCTTTACTATTTGGGGTCAGATGCTGTCCCTTGTCTCTAATCTCTTTTTTAGGGCCATTTTTGCATAATAGATTAGCCCTATTTGTGTTCACTTTTGAGATTTGTTATAAACTGGAAAAAGTCTCCTTTTGATATCATCTTTATGTTTGATTAAGGGCATTTTCTTTTTTGAGGTCATATGCTTCCTTGTATGTTTGATTGTCCCTTATTTTGAGCCTTACACCTAAGCTCTTGTTACATGCTTGGTTTGGCCTTCTAGCCACTGAAATTCAGTGGATTTTCAATGGCTAGCACACTATTTTGAGCCTCCAAATCAGAGGGGGGTGACCCTCCTCTCACCTTGACTTGTTTGGTGGTCATTTTTGGCCTTCCAAAGAGACCCTATCTTGCATGCTTTGAAGTCACTTTCCAGGGTCAATTTGATGAGTTCTAAGACTACCATATTTGATTTTCATAGTTGCTTATTCCATGTTAAGTGTCCACCTTGTATGTGTTTAATAATCCATTGCATGGCCCTCTAAAGGAGCTCATCATTTTTGCATGTATTGGTTGCATCTCCATGGTTATTTGGGCATATTTTCACATGTTTTATTCACTAATTTTTGCTGGTTTGGTAAGATTACATGTACATCCTATACTTGCCATATAACTCATGTTTGCTAGTCAAAGTTGCATGCTACTTTAGTCCATCTTGCTAGCATCTTTTGGCCATGTTTTGAACTGGAAATGTTCATGTGTTTGGGACTTCCTTGGCTCTGTCTTTAGACTTCATGATCAAATAATGCATGCTTTGTATAGCTATAAGTCATTCCATGTACCTAGTTTCGAGTTTCAGGGTTCTTCTCATGCATCGGGTGCCATTTTTTCATGTTTCGGGACTGTTTAGCATCATATTTCAGTGCTGGAATTTGTGAGTTTATATGCCATCTTGCATCCCTTGCCATGCCTTGTTAGAGTCGCATGTTATGCCTAGGATCAGTCCTCGGTTTGCCTGCATGTGTGCACGCATTTCGGTAGTCCCATTTTCACCTAATGGCTACTGATGTGAGTGTGGCTGAGGTCCACTCATGTTGGTGTAAGTCCATCGTGCATTGTGTATGCCATTTCATTTCACAGCATTGTGTATGCTAGGTTGTATGTTAGAGCATTGCGTATGCCTCGTTACATCGTGCATTGTGTATGCCATTTCATAGCATTGTGTATGCTAGGATGCATGTTAGGATCGCATTCATGCATATCATGCATATTGCATAGTGCTTGGGATAGGAGTTAGCCCAAGCATGGGAAACGAGGGACGTTTCGTACTCTGAATGACGGACCGTGTCTCAATTCCCTGTCGCCGACATTCCGGATTACCCATGATGGAGTTTAGGCCTTTGTTGTGTCCATATGTGCATTCATTTCATATTGAGTCGTGCAAATCGACCCCTCGGCCATCATGCATCGAGATGCGTGATTGGTGGCACGAGGATCGAGGACTACACTCCCTGAAGAGTAGTCATGCATACATATGTGAAAATACTTTGCCATGCCCCTTTGTTGCTCTCTGTTGCAGCAAATCAGAAATCGAC